CGATTAATTCAGACAAATTGTGAAGTTGGGGCATATCGTGATTTGAATGTATTCGACTTCATGTTAACTATTCAGAATTTTAAATATGCAATAAACAAATTTAATTCAGTACAGCCACTAAATTTTTATCAAGCGGAGTAAGAAATTATTTAGTTAGAATTAGAAATACTGCGTGCCATGTTTACAATGAAAAATTGTTGTTGATTCCGCCGATGCAACGTAGTGGAGGAATCGTACCTGGCAAAAATTCTGCGTCCGGAATCGAAACCAATCCCAATTGCGCCAGAGGAGCCAAGGTTTTATGCCTAAGCTTGGGTCCAAAGAAACACGGTTAGATTTCAACACATGACGACTCGTGCAACATTTGAGCAATCTCGTTACAAGGAAATCTCACCGTATTTTAGAGCAATACTGCCTGCAGCTCGAGTATTTAGTCGATCAATACTCGCTGCCGCTCGAGTATTTAGTCGAGCAATACCCCCTGCCGCCGGAGTCTAAATAAATTTGCTCTTGATTTGTACTGATGATTTGTGCCACCTCTTAGATTCAATATTTGAGTTAGGGTTACGCTATCTATATTATGAGCTGATAATTTTAAGACGGCCTAATAATTTTTATCTATTGAACAAAATGATTGCTTAAACTGATTTCGGAACGTTTTTCGTTCCTTCTTTAGTCCGATTATTTTAGGTATGGTATTAGCATCATTAACCATCAATAATGAATAAAATGCCTAACAATTGTCAATTTTTATACTTTACAGTGGTTAAAAAAACTGTTTCTGAGAAGCTGTAAGGAAAGCCGCACAATGTGAACGTCCCGCTTTTTCATCGTGAAACTAATTCATAAATGATCCGATTTACTACGAGTAACGCCACTAACGTGGGCACTGCGCGCAGTGTCCTGGAATTGTGAAGAATATTGCTAAGCCGGCGCCTGGGGGGCGCGCAGGAATGTCGGTATGAGCACGACAGAATTCATCAACTTTATGAAGCTTGAACTTGGAAATAAGGTAAAATTCCTTAAAAATAAAGCAAAAATCCTTTAAAAATAAAGTAAAAGGTCTTTTGAAATGAAGTTAAAATAATAGGAAATGAAGTTAATAATTATGGAAGTAGAGTTAAAAACATTGAAAATGGAGTAAAAATGCTTGGAAATAAAGTTAATATCCATCGAAATAAAGTGAAAATCCTTTTAAACGAAATTAAATTCCTTGAAATAAAATTGAAATCCTGGGAAATAAAGTTAAATTCCTGGGAATAAAGTTTAAATTCTTGTAAATAAAGTAAAAAATCTTTTAAAAGAAAATTAAAATCCCGGGAAATAAAGTTAAAATCCATGGAAATTAAAGCTGAACTTTGCAAGGAGGAAACTCGGTGCTCTCTGCCGTGGAAAACATAAAAAAATATAGTAACTCAGTACTCACTGCAGTGAGTGACAGAGAGCGCATTTTCTCGTCGACGAAAACTTGAGGTCACGGACGGACGGACAGACGGACGGACAGACGGACAGACAGACATGGCGAGCACAATAGTGCATTTTTTCCATAAATGAAAAAATGCGTTAAAAATATCATCCAGTGTTTCAAGCATTTTCTTATTCTGTCCAAACTAATAACCACTCAACAAAATAATGCTATAGCACGTGACATTTTGTTTTATCTTGTCAATTTAGCGGAACACTCTTTTGATCGCACCATATTTTCCATCCGAAGTGATATCCTTAATTAGCATCCATTCAGTGCCGATATAAAATAATATGTAAGCCCTGTACGCAATAAGTAATGCACTGTGATGAACATTTCTCGACGATATCAACAAATGCTTACTTCATAAATTTGCTTGAATCTCAAGTTAACCGAGAAATTGAAAGAAGTTGCTTTAACAACTTTATCAGTTGTTATTGAAATTGTTGATTGATATTGATTGATTGTTGATTGATTTTTCGTTCCTTACTCCGTTTAGTAAGCAATTACGGCGTAATTTCTTTGTATACATTTCTAGAGACAAAAATTTCTTTATGAACTTAAGTTGTATTCACTGATGTTTACATAACACGATAGCGGAACTGTATACGAAACCGTTCGATGGAGATGTGATGAAATTAGGCGTCATATTTTTTTTTAATTCAAGGTACAAATATTGAAAAGATGATGCAGGAAAGACAGATGCCGAACAGTGCACAACAGTTATTTGCAGCCGCAACTCATTCCCCGTCTAATTGATGTGAAACAAAACAACGCTAATTTTTTCTTGGTATGAGGCTAAAACAAAAAAAAGTCCTACGATATACTAGATTCCCCCTGCGCTTGTTTTTACAACTTTGTTTATAATTTCAGATATTTAATTGAGAAATGAATAACATTTGCAGAAAAAATCGCACAAATGTCGCTGGAATAAAATTCTGTATGGTTTTAGATGATAGTGAACAACGAGTTCGAATTGAGAATTAAGAGATTACATAAGGTGTCGTCAAAGTTTTACGATTAAACTTTTTGCATATTTGAATAAAAAACGAGAAGCCTTGATTAATTAATCCTATGCGCTTCGGCATCGTTCACCAAATTGTACTAATATAAATATTTTTTCTAGACAGTTTGGAATGAACTTTATCGATATTAACTGTAATTCGTGTATTATTAAAAGGGTTTCTAAATGTGATGTATTGAGTTGTACTGTACACCGTTACTAGTTCGCTGAAAAAAATACGAAATTGGAATTTTTATACCCTTCAGGCTTGGCTGTAAGAAATATTTTTCGCTTTTGGTCGTTAAAACAGCCTCTGTATCGGGGATTCCGTTACCTGGAGGCCGTAAGAAACTTAATGAGCCAGAAGCTATCCCGTGATGGATGGACTCAAAGAGACGTTGCACGTTTATAATAAAGAAAACTAATTAAATTTCGTGAAAACAAGGTGGTAGATAAAATCATCTTTCATCTCAACGATAAAGACGTCAAAATATCTCTCTAATAAACTGACTTATTTTGTTCAAATAGTTCTAACACAACACTGAAGTTATCCTGACGTGCACGTTCAAGTAGCCAATTGTTGACTCTAACACAACACATAAATGCCAAGCACCATATCGAACCCGGTGGAAGTCTAGTAGCTCTTTCAAACTATGGTTAGTCTAAAACGATCCGGTCAAATGACACGATTTTTGATCTTCTGTGAACAAGGTACGAAAAGGAAACGAATCGGCGACATCAGGCCTACACTTCAGCGCCGACATCACTATTATTGTTGTTATGTTATGATAATATACGTTTAAAAATTACTTTTTAAAAACAACATTTTTTAAGAATACAGTTTCTCCAATATTAAAGATGTACAATGACTTTCTCATTTTATTTTAGAATATTAAAAAAAAAATAATTTTTTTCACATTTTTTAATATATAATTTTTTCAAAATTATTTATTCTGTCAATTGATTCATGCATTGCCTCCGACTTCACACAAGTGTGCAAAATTTCAGATTAATTGGACAGGTAAAAGTGTGTCAAATATCAGTTATAAGATTTGTAGCAGACAAAATTATTTTTTCAATTTTTGGAATATTGAAAAAATAATAATTTAAAATTTTTAAATCATTTATTTTGTCATTTGATTCTTGCATTGCCTCCAACTTTACGCAAGTGTGCAAAATTTCAGATCGATAGGATAAGTAGAAGTGTGCTAATTTTCGATTATAAGATTTGTAGCAGACAGACAGACATACAGACAGAAAAACAAGAAATGAAGTTAAAGAGAAGTGTTGTAAAATGGAACTGAATCGAGCTGAGGGATTTTCACAGTAGTAAATTTTCATCTAGAATTAGCATGGAATAGGTATCGCATAAAGGATTAAACTGATCACAAACATGGGGACCAAACAATTTAATGAATAAAGTAGAGCGATAGAGATCTCAGAAGCATTAAATTTTCAATAAATATTCTAATAATTACGCATTTACGAATACATTTCCGATTTATCAATAGAATAGCAAAAATTGTAATCAATTGACTTCGTTGATTTACTCATCCCAGTTTACGCAGATGACCACGCTTATTTTTCCTTTTACACAACTAAACAATAACTGTAGCAGACGGAAAAATTCGTACACAAATTCCCAAATGAAACTTGCGTATCTTTCAGAACAGCAACAGCAATACTCTAGCACAGCAACAGGAAAATACGCTATGGGCACCTAAGTGCTTGCTCACTTCCTACTTTTTCCCGACAGAGAAGAACGGATGCCAATTTAGAGAGGAGAGTCGTAATGATCGCTGGCCATCATAGACGGAAACACCGCGCGTTTCTTCTTAATGGGAACGCAATGCAGGTTTTAATAGATATTCTCACACCGCAGATGACGGCCATCGAAGCAACCGCAAAGAGCGTGTGGCACCATGACCGACGGAGATGAATCTTCGTTTGCCTAGTATTTTGCATCGGCATGTTCAGGAACGTTCGGAAAACGGGTATTACAAGGAATATGTTTGTTGTACCAGGAAAATGCGGATACTTCACATACTACTACAATTTATAAATTTGAGAAAAAATGATTGCATTTAAAAATTTGCCGAGTAGAGGATTAAGTAAAGCCTGAAGTGCCGCCATAACGTTTACTTAAAGAACATAAGGTAAGTAATACATCGGATGTACAAACAAGAATCGGCTTTGCTCTACAGATTATGTGTGTCTATTCTGATTTGAAGCGTCAAATATTAGAATCAAATTTTGTAAACAATAAAATCGGACAGCAAGAGTAACTAACAGTTTTGATTAGGGAGCGAGATTAGCATCCTGGAAATTGAACAATATTTCATAACAAATTCCAATACCGAGGGAAAGCAGCGAATTTCATAAGAGATAAAGCTGAATTAAGTCAAGTGAACCTCAAAATATAAAAAAATATAACTCAGTACTCACTGCAGTGAGTGACAGAGAGCGCATTTTCTCGTCGACGAAAACGTGGTCACGGACAGACGGACGGACATGACGAGCAAAATAGCGCCTTTTTTCCATAAATGAGAAAATGCGCTAAAAAAATATTTCAGAACAAAGCAAAATTTTGTGCAGAAATAAAGTGTACCTTTACATCAACTGTCGCTTCCAATAGAAACGTAGAAATAGCATTCAGAGACCGAGCTGCCATACGAGGGATTAAAGCACCAGCCAAATTATACAATATAAAAATGATGTCTTAAAATACTTATGTTCAATTCAACAAAATAAAAAATCACTGAGTAGGACACTCACGAAATATTCAGAGCGCCAAGTTTTAATTATAACTTTTAAATACCGGCGCCAGAAATTATTTTCCAAATCAAGTAAGAATCAGTACATGGCCTCGGTAAATTTTAGTGAATAAAAAATGAAGATGATATATTTTGCGTGAAAAATTACGATCAATTGTTTTACATCGATAATAAATTTTGCGGCCGAGATAGCGTAATTTTGTCTTGAGTTATCCAAGTAACATTTTGAATTAAGTTATCGTACTGCCGCCAACATTTGAACACAACTCGCTTAATATGGTCATTGTTATGAATTGGATCAGTGAGTTCGCTCGATTCTGACGCGTGCATTAGAGTATATTAAATTCTGGTCCAAAAGAATAATTATTCTTACATTCTGGCACGCCGCAAGCTTTGCGCGTGCGACGTATCTGGTATACTTGAGAGCGCAAATGAAATTATTCCTGAATTAGAAAAATTTCCGCAAAATAACGGAGTGCCGACATAGAAGATTCAAGAGAAAATGAACTGAGGGATGATATTCGTATGGGAGGGTTGTAATATACCGGCAAGGGTTCAGAAACGTTCTTAAAAACCATGTGATGCGGAGTCTCATGCGGGGAATGAGTTCTTAAATCTGGTGATGGTATCGAGAAAAAACGGTCTGTAGACGGACAATGTAACTGTGATGGGATGTCGGCATAAAATTCATTGACATTTTGAGTGCAATGAAGTAGCTCGGAATAAACAACAGGTTGGAAGATGTACATAACACGAATAATAATATCAGAGCAAGAAATTTACAAATTAAAGAAGTAAAATAAATTTTTCCATAATAGTTTCAAATTATTCGGAGAAAAGTCGCCAATAAACTAGAATGACCATCAATTGGAGAAATTTTCTAATTTTATACCCGGGCGCGATAGAAGGTGCGGTGTTAGGGCAGCACTCGAAGTTTCGACCGGTCAGTGACTGTTATAAAGTGACGAGGTCGACCAGATTCGTCTTTGGCTGCGTCATGTTTTCAGGAAAATATTTAGTGAGAACATTAAAGAGTTCCGAGCGGTGGCGGTGACGCCAGGCGATCAGCTGCTCCGTGGACGAGGGAGAACCAGGCATCGAAATTTCCGGCAGAGTTAAGGAATTTTCGGGTAACATTAATGAATTATCCTGCATCGTTAGCGAATTACTCCCACTCATGTCCATGAGTAGTGGAGACGAGGATGCAGAAGCCCTGGCATCGCTATTGAGGAGATCGAGATTGGGAGGAAGTTGAGGGGAAAGAAGATCAGAGAAGAGGGGGAGGTTCTGGGGAGGAGGTTGGGGAAGAGATGTTAGAGGCGGCGGCTGACAAATTTCAGGATCTGGTGGCTGGAAGAGCGTGCAAGCCAAGCGCTGCAGTTCAGTCACCTGCGAAAGAGGCAATTAATCATTGTGCATTATACTTTTTACATTCATGATTCGCTGAATAATTAAATAAGAAAATTATTCCCATTATTTAAATTTTGGTTTTTGGACTTGCAAAATAAAGGCTGATGATGTCAGAAATTTGATTGAATTTCAAGATGAACTCAAGTCTTGCTAATTAGTCGAGGCGACGCTATGGTCAGCTACTTAATTTCTACTCAAATTACAGGAATAAAATTCTACTCTCACTTGTTCAGGGTTGTTGTGGTCGACAGCTTCATGCAGCTCCGTCTGAAGGTAGCGCAGTGCTTCGGACGAGTCACGAACTGCGAGCTCTTCGTACCTGCGTAGATATATAAATATAATACCTATATATATATTATATATAATATATACATTGCAGGTATGTGTTACCAAATATAACTACGCTAATCACCGCCAGCCATTTCAAATACATATATACGCACTTCATTAGCACTATTATTATTAGTATTAAATCACACTATAACCATGAATTAAAAAAGAAAGAAAACATCTAGTAGATTCACCATATTTGCACCGAAAACGTTTTTGATGAAGAAATGGTTTGATTTAATAATTTAATTTGGGTTTTCTTTGATTTTAAATTCTTAATTAAATACAGATACACGTATACGACAGAGATATCTAAAGAAAATGCGGTACTGACTACCGAGTGTATCTATAATTATGGAATTAAAATTAAATGTTGGGCATGTAGAAAATGATTTAAATTAATGAGGGACAGACCCAAAAATTATGCCAAACGTATTGATACGAAACAATAGTTGTCGATATCCAGTATCCACAACAGATTTTAAAAAGAGTTATGTGAAAAGTTAAAAACGATAAAAAAGAAGAACTTGAACTCCTTATTGATAGAGATTTTATATAAACTCGGTTCAAACCAGTTGATACTTGCCAGCTTTTCCTGATTATGAAGACGATTTCTTGCAACAGCTTCTCTGGACTTGGTCGACTGAGCTGCAGGGACCAGAAGTCATCGAGGCGCATCTTGGGTTGCTGATGTCGGCCTGGGTTGCCGCCGAACATGTAATGTATCTGCACGAATAAAAAGGTGCTACAACAAAATATACTTGTATCTTTCGCAACAAAAGTATCACGGGAAGATTAAAGGTTTGACACAGGCAAGAGTATTGTCACTCGCAGCTATGCAGCCCTGATTCGCTTCATCTTGCAGCTATGCTTCTCTGACACATTAAATTTTCGGCTGTTTTCTTCACATTCGTATCTAATTTTTAGTTATTCTTCCCTGGCACATTGAACCCATGTAATACTTCATTTACGTCCAACCTGATAACGTATTCTCCCTGACTCACTTTCAGCTTGTAGCTACACTCCCTGACTCACTTTCAACTTGTAGCTACTCTCCCTGACTCACTTTCAGCTTGTAGCTACACTCCCTGACTCACTTTCAACTTGTAGCTACTTTACGCGACTCACTTTTAGCTCGCAGCTACTCTTCTTGCTCCACTTTTAGCCTGCAGCTACTCTCCCTGACTCACTTTTACCCGGCAGCTACTCTCTCTGACTCACTTTCAGCTTCCAGCTATTCTCTCTCAGACTCACTTTTTGCTAGCACCTACTCTCTCTGACTCACTTTTAGCTAGCAGCTACTCTCCCTGACTCATTTTCAGCTTCCAGCTATTCTCTCAGACTCACTTTTGGCTAGCAGCTACTCTCCCTGACTCACTTTCAGCTTCCAGCTATTCTCCTAGACTCACTTTTAGCCTGCAGCTAGTGCTACTCCCTCTGACTCACTTTTGGCTAGCACATACTCTTCCTGACTCACTTTCAGCTCGCAGATATTCTCCCTGACTCACCTTGTTGACGTGGTCGTACACGAGCTGGTGGGCAAAGCGAGGGCAAGGTTCGTCTCGGTTATCTGGGCCGTCGCCGGAAAGTTCGTTGTGGTAAATGCAGGACCTGACGGAAAATAAAATTTGTTAGCTGTGGTTGTCATCGACCATATTCATGCACAAGTATACAAACGGGAAATGATTTAGCAATAATGATTAATTAAAATGGTTGGAAATAACAATCGATAAATTGAACGAGTGAAGCTTGATATTAGCTAGACTAATGGCAACAAATTATAAAAAATTTACTTCTTGAAAGACCTTACCATTTGTTATGAGGAATGCTGTACACCCAAAAAGAATTGCACACCGTATCTTGCTTGTCTTTCTCCTTGCTGAGCCCCTGAAAGAAATCTCGAGATGAAGGTGGATATAAATGCTAACATATCCAGCCGTTGTAGTGGATGCGTTGGTAGCAAGGCAAATATTGTTGATTTATAGTAAAATAGCAAGTTAAAGTAACCTTCATATCATTCTTTGCTGTAAAAGCCTTCTTACACACTCGAAAATATTCAACAGCATTTCTAGTTTTTATCGCACGCTAAACATAACCTGACGATTTCACCTATTAGCCCAGAATCAATCTTTATAAACAATTACGTAACTTAACACATCTCCCCATCTCTATTAATATAGTTATAATTACTTAACACATCCCCATCTCTATAATTACTTAACACATCTCCCCATCTCTATTAATGTACAAGTTTTCAATACATAAAAGGGCATAACAATAAAGCATCATAATAACAACACAAATATAAATACAAACCCGCCTAAAAAGTACACTAAAAGCGACGCGGGTTACAACAAAAACTGCTACCCTGCACTCACGGACAGAACATGAATTTCCTCAAGTACGGGATCAATGGTAGCTTTCTGAGTGAAGCCTGCAGGGGGGACGTCGCTGTGACGGGGCGGGAAGGAGGCCCCTAGAAGAGCCCCTCCCTCCAGGATGTTCAGGCCCTGGGCTGAGGACGCGACGCCTGGGGGCCGCACTGCGCTGATAGAGGCGCATCCTCGGGGGGAGTTCTTCTCGTTGATGCACGTGATGACATCCGTGTCCACCTGAGACACGAGCAAGTAAATAATACGGTGATGCACGTGATGACATCCGTGTCCACCTGAGACACGGGCAAGTAAATAATACGGTGATGCACGTGATGACATCCGTGTCCACCTGAGACACGGGCAAGTAAATAATACGGTGATGCACGTGATGACATCCGTGTCCACCTGAGGCACGGGCAAGTAAATAATACGTTGATGCACGTGATTACATCCGTGTCCACCTGAGACACGGGCAAGTACAATTGTACATTTGTGGATGTGATCGCATTCGTTTAAAGCTCAGGCACGGTCAAGTAGTTATACGTTGATGCACGTGATCTGTAATATTTTCTAAATAGAATGAAAATATCACTTGAAAATATCAACGTAAATGAAAAATGATTTAGAATAAGTTAAAACTAAATTTAGATCACAAGTGGATTAAAAACATAGTAAGATGATAATGCAAAATAATAATAATAATAATAATAATAAACAATTAATTTTTTAGCTTAAAATTCTGCTACAAATGTGAGGAACTGTTTAGGCTCAAGAAGCAAAAGCCTCACCTGATATGTGAAGAAGTCAGTGAGGTATTCCTTGTTTCGTTGGCCCGCCAATATGAAGAGTTGTCGAGTGATCTGCACGTAAGAATATATGTCACCACAAGCAATGCTTTCTAATCAAAAAAATATTCACCTGAATTGTAGTGAGACACAATCACCGCAACATGTAAGGCGCTCTACTTGGGGCTAGCTTTTGCAATAATATTGCAAGTCAATATAAACAACGTACTAAATCCCAGTCCTGAGTAATAGAGTCATAAGAAAAGTTGCCCTAAAGAATGAAGAAGTATTGATTGTCCGACGTAAAGTAAGTTTTCACGATTACTGAAGTAATAATATGCGTTCGAAAATTACTTATTGAAGACAACCCATCTAAAGAATCTAATGTCTTAGATGTTACACATGTACAATGAATTTCTAATTCTATTTTCAAAGATAAAAAAATCCAATTTTAAATTTTTTAAATATTAAAAAAAATTATATTTTCAAAATTATTTATTCTCTCAATTGATTCAAGCATTGTCTCCTACTTTACGCAAGTGTGCAAAATGTCAGATCGTTTGGAGAGGTAGAAGTGTTTTAAATATCGATTATAAGATTTGTAGCAGACAGACAAACAAACTACAAGAAGTGAAGTTAAAGAGAAGTGATGTAAAAAGAGAAGCTGGCTTACAGGGTGAAAAAGCATTGAATGTCCGACGCGGGACCTGAGCGACGAGCTGCCTGACGACGATGACGACGAAGACGTTGAAGGCGACGAAATATTAGACGAGTTGAGAGACCGCGACGACGACGAGGCAGCGACAGCCGCTGACACTGACGGCGATGCGGGAGCATCTCGGCTGATGTCAGACACGCGGCCGGTAAAAGTACCAGTACTTGAACCTAACATGGAAAGAATTGTTTTAAAATTGATCGCAAATGTTCATTGAGGGAGCATGATAAAAGACAGTTGACAACACTTTGCGATTATTCATAAAAATATATTGATTTAAGCGTGGTTTACGGGCAGGGGCAGGGTCGTCCTCCCTGAGGCAGGTCCATGTGTTGGTCGCGACGTCGTAGCGGTAGAGGCCTGAGAACTGCAGCTCGGCGGGGGAGAAGCCGCCGTTGCTGCTCACCGAGCGCTCGTTCTCCAGGCTCACGCTGAGCGAACACGTTCAAAGCAGGCATGCATTAATGACTCGACAACGGCTCGTATTTTTAAAATTCGCCACACTGAAAAATGTATCCTTATAATCGTACCTAATGTAGGCACAATTGTACCAATGTAGTCCCAACACCGTTGATAAAATATTTGCATGTTAAGAACAAACAAAGAATTTCTAGCAGCATAAACTTGAAACTAAGATATAAAAGAAATTGAAAGAAGAATTGAATTGAATTGGTATTAGCGTGTAACAAAACGTTTCCATAGCACGAGAATACATAACACTTGAAAACGAGTGAAACTATATGGGCTACTTTAACAAATTACATACAATTCAGAAAACAGAAATGAGTGTAGCTATCTACAGATATATCTTATAAAATAGAATAAAATAGTTGATCAACTCACCCTTCCCAACGCGACTGCGTCAACACTCGGCCACCAAAAACATAAATAACTCTTTTCTCGGCGTCCATGACCATCTGGTGGTCAAACACGAGGCGAGGGCCACCCACTTCGGCGGTATCTTCAGTTATTAGGGTCCATCGGCCGCTGTCCAGCTCGTAAAGATAAAAATCGCTCTGCCCACCAGTGAAATTGTTAAAAATTAAACTGCCATATTTTCTTACGTGCACACCAAGTTCAACTAGAAAATGAAATAGATTAATAGACATAAATTTCTCACTGCGACTGATGGAAGTGCCATGCAACATTCATGAGAGTAAATATCTGTTAACATATTAATGAGGTCTGCATGTTATTACCAACAATGCCGATCATGTAGACAGATAAGTGAATACTTGAGCCGGTAAATAAGAGAAAAATTTACCTTGAGGTTGTCAGCGGTGCGCATTTTGCTGTCAACGTAGCGGCCGAGCGTGAAGAGCTGACGACGCTCTGAGTCCAGGCAGAGCTTGTGGCAAGAACGGGGGCTCGGACCACCCTGAGGTACAATCGTTTGGTTATTTGAAAATCAAGCACTTTATTATTTTTCTACGTGAAACAAGTCACAAAAAGGTCGAAAGTACCAAAAATGCAGACTGGACTTTCATTTTTGACATTTAATATGTTGATTTTACGAAACACAAGATCCGGATGTAATTAGCTGCCTTGATATCAGATTCACGAGTGCCAGCTCAGGCAAATGTTTAGTTGCAAAAGACAAATAGATTACCAAAGTACCTGACGACTAAAATTATTTGAAAAAAAGTTAAAAATGGGGTTGGAATACCTGGATCCGAGTGTCGGGAGAAATGCAGGACCACTCGTTGGCAGGGATATTATAGCACCATAAGTCGCTGAGGTCTTCCTGGCCATCCCAACCGCCGAAGAGATAAATGCTCTGCAACACAACCACAACCTTGTTATTCTATGAATACAACCAAATTATAAAATGAGAAGTTGCGATTGAAGTTACCAGTCACAATTTAAGGAGTCAATCTAAAAAAATATAACTCAGTACTCATTGCAGTGAGTGACAGAGAGCGCATTTTCTCGTCTACGAAAACGTGAAGTCACGGACGGACAGACAGACAGACGGACGGACATGAAGAGCAGAATAGCGCCTTTTTTTCCATAAATGAGAAACCAACAAAACCAATCAGAAAAACAACTACCGGCGAGTGGCCGCCCCTCACCTGAGTCTGGGTATCACAGCAGAGCTGGTGGCCGCCCCTCATGCCGGGCGAGGTGTTTGGAGCAGCTCCAGGCGGCGGTATGAGCTGGCGCCACACAGGTGCCAGCGGCTGGCCACTCAAATATTCATTAAAAAGACCGCCTGCGGAATGTTTTAGTCACCCATATTATTCCCACTCTTTCACAGAGTATATATTTTGCTACCATATGCAGTTCAGTAACATAAATTTGGAAAGCAAATTAATTGCTGAAATGACAATCCTACAAAGCAAAATTACTTCAAAGTAAATTTTGATTCTGAGCTGATAAATTCATTCTGAATGTAGAGAGCCTAATGAAGAGTAAGAAAAAGTTAGCTGGTAGTAATAATGATTGTATAATTAGAGTAATACTTACTTTGAAGGGCTCTAGAGATAAGGTTCTCAACAAGCTCAGTGCCGTCATGCTCTGTACACGCCTGGTACAGTCGCGTCAGCACAGGGTGCTCTAGGCGGGTGTTGGCTTCTCTCGACAGAGCAGTGAAGGCTTCTATGTAACGGTTGTGACGGAGGTGTTTCAAGCACACTCTCAGGGCTTCACGCTCGCAGTGCTGCCAATAACAGAATTGAGTTTGATAACACCGTGATTCATTAAATGCTAGTGGAAGACAAACTACACACTGGCAATGCAGCAATGATGCCTAAAATAAGTAGCATGCATCTCTTGGACAGGAAAGAAAGTAAATAAATAGTGAATTTATTTTGAATGAAAACATTCATGAGTATTAGACTAAGATTAGACTAAGTTTCAGTATTAGACTAGGAGATCTGTTTGAAGCATTGAATTTTACATTTGATGTCAATTTCGATAAACTTAACTCAAAATGGCAATTGAAACACTCATTATTGAGTGACAACACTGCAGCAAGTTAAATCTGGGCAACTGAGCTCACAAGCGTGTACGTGTGGATGCAGCGCCGAACCAAAGCAGGGTCTGGACAGCCTGAGAGAGCCACGTGCCAAATACTGAAGTTGAATGTTGATCCCCAGGCCTGAAAAGGTGTAGTAAATACGGTATTGGTCATTTATTTAATGCAAATTGCATCTGCAATGAGAACTACAAATGGATATGATTTTTGTTTACGGTTGAAGAAAAATTATTTTTTATTGTTAAGGACTATGCTCAGCTACGCTTTTCAGAAGAATGCTTCAACAAACCTTTATTTTTTTATGAGAATATACATTGAAGACTCAAATTGTTAATACCTAAATATATTTAATAGAACTGCTTGTATACATGACAATAAAAAATTTCTAGTATCAACAAAATTTTCCAACAATATTCTTCATAACATGTACTACCTCACCTGCAGGGGTAGGAGTTTGATGTAACGAACTGGGAAGGGCATATCAGCAACGGTGTGCTTCAAGCTAAAAGTCTCAGGGTGTGGGTCATTCTTCAGGCCACTGAGTGATGAAAGATTTAGAAATAATTTTTTAAGGAAAGCATGATATGTACATTCAGAACATAATATATAGGGACACATTCATTGACATTAAATGTAACTAATATACTGAAAATGATATAGATATTAAATTTATCCAAAAAATGATTTATATTAAGCACAAATCATTAACAAGGGAGTTATTAATAATACTTGCCCATCAAAGAGAAGCATCATGTGATCTTCAGTGAGGCCTCCCCATACTTGAAGCTTTTTCACATTGCAAACATGGCTCTTCTCATATTTACCAAATGTAATGCTTGTCACAATTGCAGGGCTCTCCAGCTTCATTACAAGAAACTGAAAGTTTTTAAATTTTAATAAATTTTTTGGAGAAAATTACAACTTTTTAATGAGAAATTTTTGATGCAAAAAATTGTGCAAGTGACAAAATTCACTTAAATCAATATTTAGACAGAGAAATAAAAACTAATAAAATAATATCAAAATTCAATGTTTGTATTCATAGCAATTTTATACATCATAAATTTCTAGTCATTTTGTTTTCTAGACATTGAAATTCATCACACAGTTAATTCATTTATTCATAGTTGGAAGTAAGGGTTCAGCACCTGTGGCGGAACATGGGAGTCTGAAGACCATCGTGAAGTCTGATCCTGGGGATTGTCCACCAAGATATTTCTGGAAAACAAAAAAATGTATAAAAAGGAGGGTTCTAAACAAAAATCAAACTAGGAGTAAATTCATACAAAAATATTTTGCTCAAGACTTTTGAGAGAAGAAATTACAGCAGTTGAGTGATTACTGATAAACAAATCTTCTTTTCAAGCATCACCTGAATTCTTGTAGCAAGAAAATCTATAAATTTTGCAGTCATAACGAACAAAGTTATTAGCTCTTGAATACCGTACATAAATTACATTGTTTGCGTCATGAACACTTTTATTAACGCTGAGTTTATATCAATAATATCCTAGTGAATTGCTAATTTTGCTCAGGAATTATAAGTTATAACCAATAATATTTCATTCAAGAATTTTTTATCAAGAATTTATGAGCAAAAAAAAAATTTTTTTTCTTTTTTTATACTTGGTGAACTTGCAACTTGAGCAGACTAGGTAATGATAAAACAAAGGCAATAATAAAGCTACTAATGTTTAATTTGTTTACAATGTGGGAAGATTTAATTTGTTTAGAATATGAGATTAGAGCTTTAACTGTATATTATATGTGTGATGCCATGGTCAGGAAGATGTGCCAGGTGCGCGGGAATTTATTTTGTCATTTTGACGACCTGCGCGGTGCGCCGTACTATGCTGGTAAAAAAATGTGCCATGCACCGTACTTTAGAAAGCTAAAATAGTTCTACTATTTTAGTCGACAATATACTCGAGTATATTGACTACGCGAGTCGAACTGACAATAATAAAATGTAAGACATGTCTGGGTTACTTCTGACTCTTCCGCTTGTCCGCCTTGTCGGATACGGAACGGACGGTAATCGTAAACTGCGGCTATTATACATACGAAATGTAAACAGACGGTGTAGGTGTTCAGTGTTGCCATATGACTTTGGAGAAAATTTCTTCTAAAATAAAGTTCTAGATTTCTTATTCACCAAATTTCCGTATCAAGAAAAATCATATATTATTGAAAGATAATTAAAGGCATACTGTACTGAATAAGCCATTTTTCTAAATTTTTACTGAAGAATGTCAAATACTATAGGACCATGTGAAATAAATGGTATGCATGTCTGTTTTTATCTCATTCATAGGTGTTTTCTGGAAGTTTTTAATTTTAGCATTATTATCATGGGTATCCATAACCAAAATGCAAATTGGAATGTCAGGCAGAAGCCACCTATGAATCCAATAAAAATGCTTATGGTTGAGGATAATTTAATGTATTTCTATGGCCCCTGTTTAATTTTTCTTATGTAAATTAAGAAAAAGGTATATAATTATCAAAGATTTTTTAAATCACCCATATGAAACAATTCTTTTTCTCCACAACTTCCTGAAAATAAGAAAATTATGCCTGAAATTACAGAATGGATGTGGATCAAGAAGAATGAGTACAATACTAGTACAATAAGAACTTAAATTGCCAAATTTTATTAGCCAACACAATTTGGTGCAGTTGGTCCTATTACATACTAATTGGGCTAAAAAACTACAAATGAGTTGAGAAAAAGCGAAGCCATTCCTACTTACTCAGGGGCAAATTTTGAGGAGAAGCTGGAATACTTTTGAATGGTATATGCCAATTTAACAGTAGAATGAGAATGTAGAAGCTCCATTGATGTAGAAATTGGGAAATTTTTTGTTAATTAACATGTTATTTGCATAAATGCACCAGATTTCACTCAGAGGAAGATTGTTTGTTTGTTTGTTTGATGCTTATTGGAGCTTTGGAGACGCATCCATGTAGCTCCACGTCTGCAGGGGGATTTGGCTGTTCCAGAAGTCCCTCTCTGAGACATGTCTGAGTCTACATCGTCATCAGTCGATCCAGATGAATGGCTATTACTTTTTTTTCTACGTTTCCCCTTCCCCATCTTCCTATTCCCAAGTTAAGTGAAAGTAACCTACAAACTATCGAATCAGATACAAGATTGATTAGTTTAAAGAGAGCTACTCACGTACGTCCGTCTTCGACGAAGTCCGTTTTCCAACTCCTCAGAGGAAGAGCGAATCAGCGAAATTGTGTTACCGGATCAAGCAAAACAAGGCTCTCTATCCGCATATACGAAAACCCTGAAGATTGGATGGTCGTCTGGAAATAAACATAATAAATATAATATTAATGCAGACAAACATGATCCAAATCCATAATGAATTATGCCTATGAACAGGTGAAAAAAATGATGCACACCATGCTGAATATTAATCCAATTTGTTTTTCAATTAAGGTTCTTGTAAGTTTTTCGACGATTCTATGTACCATAAATTTTGAAAATTTTCTGTGATACAAAATGACACGAACTTGAGGGTAAAGGTTTACAAATGTCTCATATAATCATTTCATGAACGTGCTAAATTTGATTGGATCTAAATTTCTTGATGGAATTTTTTTTAATTGTCCTTATGTGCCCAATGTTTAGAATAGACTTGAATTGAAGTGTCGGCCCTGAAGAAATAGGCCCATGGCCTGTTGCCGAGCAGGCCATGGGCCTGCTCGGCTCCTCACAACAAGACTCCTCGACAGAAGGGACTCACAATCATCCACTGATAATATTAAAGTGGTGCCTTTTTTAATCTATCTGCATCAACCTTTCGCCAATTCTTAACTACTTGTTACCTTGCTGACTTTGACCGAAATTTTCACAGTTTTCTGACCAGAAAATTTTCACAGTTCTAATATTCTCAACTTTTCGGTTAACCTAAGCTAATCCGAAATCTATTTTTTTTTCGTTTTTGGCATCTGTCTTTTTCGAGCTCTAAATAGCGATTTCATGGTTCATTAAGCGGTAGGACTGTCGACTATTCTTAACATCGCATAACATTCACTTGCGCTTGTTGCGGGTCTCGAACACACGGCTCACAGCTACTATTTTGCTATGTTTAACCGCCCGGTCTCCTCGCCGATTCTGACAAGAAACTGGCGCACAGAGCTGGGTGGGGTTTAACCGGTACTCTCTACTTCAAGCTTGGTTCTCTGAACTGTAACCACAGGACCGTGTTTTATTAATGTCACCCGTCTAGACCTGTATGCTTCTTCAGCAAATGGAGGAGGCTTTTCGTGACCTTCCCTCAAATTTGCATCAAATTGTGGTGCTTGTTTCTACAGATATTATCAGAAATAATTATTTATTATGTATGAACATCTCGGAAGTTCTTTACTTATACTTTCAACGCAGCTTATTGGTGAATCTATCAGATTAATTGCATACTGAGGACATGTCGGTATATTAAAATCTGATAGAAAAAATTATCAGCTCTCTTCGCGAAGGTCATAATTATTTCAAAAAGAGGATAATTTGTATTAGTCATAACGGCTAGTTGTTATAAGTCTTATGAGAAAGAGGTTTAGCGTTGTAATGTATAATATACATTAAACTATACAATATATGATATACACTGCAGGGATGTATCCTGTTGAATAGTTGTACTTAAAGTTCTTACATAAAATGCCGATTTTTAACGGAATGCACTGTTCGTGCAATGAACATAATTTGAATGCACTCAAATTGCACTCAAATAACTCAATTTGAAACTAATGCTGTAATGCAGATCGCACCATTTGACTCTAGCATAATTATTGCTGCAGCGTGAAATAGTAGGTACGATTTGCTAAAAAATACCTAAATGAAAAAGTTTTCTTGCAATGGTGAAATTGTGTTCTTGAAAATTCCCATTGATGTTTGATTGTGAGAAATTTGTACCGAGAGTTAATTATATTTAGAAGGTTGAGTTAGTCTGCCGAGACAGCACAATTTTCGAAGGAGCTTATTAATTAGAGCATTTTCCAACTAAGAAGGCGAGTATTTGCCATGATTAATACTAAATTACTACATTTATTGTGGAAAATCGGAAAAAACGAAAGAAACTTAGGACCTATAAAGTCATTTTTTGCCACTGAAGAAATCAAATTTTCTATAATAAACGATAACACAAAAATCTTGTGAGCGTTTTTTAAAAAGATTCGTGTCATTACAATAGCTTATATTTTACGTTGCGTTTGAAATGGTAGCGAAATGATTCGTTAATGCTCAACAAAAGCTTTTTCTTCATGGAATGCTTTTATCTCTCGGGAATCCTCATAGACTTAATTTTCACACGTAAAAATCCTTGTTTTTTTAAACTTCTAAGTATTGTTTTGATAACTTTTATGCTTGTATGTGGTACTTTTTTCCATCTCGGATATTTTATTTCGTCTACGAAGAGCGTAAAAACACAAGCGTAAACATCCGAAATTTACTTGACCCATTGAAGTATCACCGGCGCTTCATTGAATATATTTCGCAACGATATAAGTTCATCGACTTTAACATCACGCACTCATGCATAATTAATAACCGCATGCATACATCATATAATCATGCATATATAGATACATATATATAGAGAGAGAGCAGAGGAGGTTATTAAAGAAACAAATGAGCACGTGTTGAGCTTGTCTTGGTGCTGATGCATGACCGAGTGTCTGTAGAGCATGCAGCACCGCAGCGCCCTCTAGTGGCTGGTGCTGCAGGCTCCATGTGATGATCACACGCTCGCTTGAGCGGGCTTTTTTTTATCGAGTGTTTCGCACGAAACATTTCCGTAAACAGGGTTGAAACTCGATTTAATGGTTCGTTATCCTAAGGCAAACGTTAATAAATGCATTATTATCATGAATTTGATATTGCCAAAAAAAAGCTTCTATCTAGAATGTTAGGTTGATAATGATTCGTCTGATAAACTGGTCAACACTTGTGCATGTATTTTTCCGTACGACTTTGCGTGGAAGTAAATGCACGAAACATAAATTTATCTTCACGTTCTTAACTTTTAAATACTACATTATTGTGAATAATTATATTTTAATTACATTTAGCCTGCCCTTCAACGGAATAAAATAAAGTGGAGCTACTATATACCTCCCATTTGAAATAAAGGCATTCATGATCGGCGATGAGATCGTTGACTGTCTCGGCAAGTGTCGTGAGCCTGACTAATCCTTAATGATGCCGTGTCAATTGTCCTCCAAATCACACTTGGAGGGAAGTGGTACGCCACCTGCCCCGAACCGTACCCGACCAACGACCGCTTCTGTGCATCGTGCGTAATAAAATTACATATATTTTCAAATTATATTATATCACTTATCAAATTACCCTCGGTCACTAGACTAGTAACACCGGGAGACAATAGCTGCAAGATCGTGAGATGACTGCCATGGGATCATTCAAAGTTGATATATAGAATTGTGACGAGATCGTTAACTTCAATTCAATCGCAATTATCATGAAAGGTTTGAAAATTTTTGATCAAATGATAGCAAAGGAATATAGACTGATAATATTCAGTGATGATATTTGCTAGTACATTTGATAAGAACGGAATAAGAGTGCAGTATACAGGAATATATTCAACGGAAGTGGATACGAAAAGCGTTGATCCGGTTCCGTAGTTTTACTCACGAAATAAATAGGCTTCAGTTGGATGCGGCAGGAGCCAAGTCAGCGTGTGTCAGAATTTTTATTCATATTGGGCATTATTATAGGGATTATTTTGCATGCTGCGACGAATTTTCAATACATTTTCCAAAAGCAAATTAGATCGAACTGTTTCACCGTACATGTCGAATGGAATTCGTTTTGCTATAGTCTATATTTTGCTGGGTTTGCAGATTTCTTGCCGAAACTAAAGCAAAGCGCGTGAGTTGGTGGGATTATACAGTCTTTCAGTTTTTGTTTCTAAATTAACAAGGAAAAATTTGGTGAAAGACCACCTAAGAATGTTTTTTATGAATGTTTCATGCCAGTTGCATGCATTATGATGATCTTAGCTTCTGAAAGTAGAGGCTTTAGTAGCGACCCGCAGATTTAAGCGGGCAACTGTACTGTGAAGTGGAATTATTATTTCATGAGTGAAATTTATTAGTGAAGTCTAATTATTATTACGAGCAGAATTTCCCATTAAAATATGCCAAAGATACGCTAATGTCTCTGCATGCATGACGAGCGTCTTGAGACGTTAGTCCGCTAATGTCTGCAGACATTAATACGTTGTCTCATATACGCTAATGTCTCTCGGTCCAGTGTCGGGCTGATCGCTGGGGCGGTCGCCAGGAAAGGGACGTAGAAATGATGATTTGCATGAGCAACGAGCGCTGTCCTGCTGCGCTAACTGCGCTGCCGTGTGATGAACTTTAATTCTCGCCGCCCGCGCTGCCATCTTTAGACAAAATTAGCGCTCCTTAATCTCGTGAGAGAGATTGGTGCCGGTGAATTTAAATCTTCAGAAAAGGCTGTCAAGTTTTTAAAATAATTTTATTTTAAAAAAGAGCCTAAATTAGTACCAGGGATGAAAAGCTTGTCTCTTAAATTTTTCGATCATCAGAATTCATTTTTGTTAACGCATACGAAATAATGGCGACAACACGTTCGATTGATCTTTACAAGAGAAATATTCAGTTATACTTCTATCAATAACTATTTACCGCAATATGTCCGAATAAAATAATTAAATTTTATTCACATAATTAAACTCCTGCATATATCGCGTTCGTTTCAGTGTCTTAGTATTTAAAAACTTCATGGTGATCTCACAAAAAATCCCGTCGCGGTCAAAAATAGAGCTATTTTGTATGCTTAAAAATTCAATGAAATTAAAAAAATCAAATTTTCTTATGAACCCAACACTCTAAACTAAAGCCAATTAATTGAACTTTGGAAATACATTTAGAGCTTCAGATCACTTTCATACGAGCTCCTCGGGTGATTGGTGTGGCGTGACGAAAAATACAAGAAAGTAATTC